AATACACTGAAGTTTCGCCTAAGATCTTTTTTTGGACCACCTCAGAGATAATGTGGCTTCTGACCTATGTGAGGATGGACTTGGGCTAGGAATTCTCAAAGAAAACATTTTCCTTTCTACCACAGCTAAGATATGAACAAGCAAATATCCCCTTCATCTCCCTCTTCAGACAAGCGTTCTCCTAATTCATCTACAGAAGGTGTCACCTTTTAGGATCCCAATTTTATTCACTCTTTCATGAGGTATCTTACTCTATGCACATGCCTGGCTTTGTTTCCCCAATCCCATAAACTCAACCCATGATAACTCAAGACCAAGAGTCAGCAAACTTTTTTTGCAGAGAGTCACAGAGTAAATATATTAGGCTTTGCAGACTGCAAGGTCTCTGTGGCATCTACTTATCTCTGCTATTTTAGAGTGGAAGCAGCCAGGGACAACACATAAATAAATGGGTAGGACTGGGTTCCAAAAAAACTTTATTTACAAAGAGAGGTGATAAACTAGATTAGTCCCTGGGCCATAGTTTTCTGACTTCTGGTCTAGGCCATCAGGAAATGGCTGATGCCCTCAGAGCAAATGCCAACTTCATCATTTTCTTACCTGCTTAGAGTCAGGCTTTCTTCTTTTTTCAGGTCTCTGAAGATTTTACTTACTTTTTTGGCAGTTTAGCAACGTATTTATTAGGATGTTTTAGAATATTTTGCTTGCAGTTGCATTGTTCTGCACTGGGAAAGTTTCTCTGGATGAAAGTCAGCAATGGGAGTCAGATTCATCTTGAAAATGAAAGTGAAAGTCGCTAAGTCATGCCCAACTCCTTGCAACCCCATGGACTGCAGCCTGCCAGGCTCCTCTGTCTACAGGATTTTCCAGGCAAGGATGCTGGAGTGGGTTGCTATTTCCTTCTCCAGGGGATCTTCCCGACCCAGGGATTGAACCCGGGTCTCCTGCACTGCAAGTAGATTCTTTACAGACTGAGGTAGCAGGTTTTCTCAGACTTTCAAATCACTGGGAGAAACTTTAATAACTACTTTTGCTTAACATGAGCTTCCCTGATAGCTCAGTTGATAAAGAATCCGCCTGCAATGCAGGAGACCCTGGTTCAATTTCTGGGTCAGGAAGATCCACTGGAGAAGGGAAAGGCTACCCACTCCAGTATTCTGGCCTGGAGAATTCCATGGACTGTATAGTCCATGGGGTTGCAAAGAGTTGGACACGACTGAGCGACTTTCACTTCACTTTACTTAACATATTAAGTTCAAACTTCTCAGATGGGTGTTTAAGGCTTTTTAATCTCTGTCTTTAGCGAAACTTTCCAATCCTTAGCTCCCTCTACTCCCTTTCTTTCTTTAAAAACATTACTTATTTATATTTTTGGTTGCACCAAGTCTTTGTTGCTGCACTATGGCTTTCTCTAGTTGCGGTTTTTGGACTTCTCATTTTGGTGGTTTCTCTTGTGAAGCATGGGCTCTGGGGCACAGGCTTCAGAACTCATGACACACGGGCTTAGTTGCCTTGCAGCATGTGGAATTTTCCCAGATCAAAGATCGAACTTATGTCCCCTGCATTGGCAAGCAGATTCATGACCACTGGACCACCAGGGAAGTCCTCTACTTCCTTTCTTGAATAAGCCTTTCCCCCATCTCTCCCATTCACTCTGTTCCCTGTACTATCCTTGCACATTTCATCCCTACTGTTTCCCATGGCAACGGCAGCCAGTTAAAAAATGAGTCTCTTTGCAGATCTCCTCTCAGATACCCTGTCCTTAATTTTCATCTTGATTGGATATGCTCTCTCCTCCAGTGTTCTGCCTTGTATTATAGTTATTTGTAAAATTGTTTTGACCATCCCTGCTTAATTGTAAACTCGTTTAGGACAGAGAACATCCCTTATCCAACTTTGCAGATTCCTCCACTTCCCTCACAGAGCCCCTAGCACACGATTTTGACTAGAGCAGTTACTTAGATATTTGCAAAATGGATGAATATATAGGTTTTTTTCAAGTTGGGAAAATTCAGTATTTTATTGTGAAGCCCATGCCATTTCTCATCTTCAGCTCTTCCTAAGGCTCATCAGCCTCCATGAAAGCCATTGCATTCCATCAAGAATAGAATCGCAGCTGTGCTTATATCCTACAACCCATGTTGAATCTCTTTTCATGGTATCCGAAAGTTACTGCCCACAAAATCATGACACCACCCAAAGATAACTGCTGTTGACAGGACATGTATTGTTAACAATGATATTATCCCCATTTTCACTAAGCACCCTTTCACAACAGGATATTTTCATAGCTACTTCATAATCCATCATATGGATACAGCACAATTGTATCCATATGATGACCAACCAGTCCCAAGTATTAGACTCTGAACATAATATTATTATAAGTAATGTTTTTTCCGTAAAGATTTTTTGATGTGGACCGTTTTCAAAGTCTTTATTGAATTTGTTACACTGTATTGCTTCTTTTTATGTTTTGTTTTTTTGGTCAGGAGGCATGTGGGATCCTAGCTCCCTAACCAGAGATTGAACCCACATCCCCTGTATTAGAAGGCGAAGTCTTAACCACTGGACCACCAGGGAAGTCCCCTAAATAATGTTATAGTGAAATGCCTTGTATGTAATTTTCCATCTCTCTGCTTCTTTCCTTAGGATAAATTCTACCAAGTAAAGAAAATGTTGAATCAAAGAGACGGATCATCTTTCAAAACTTTTTCAGTTGCTAAATGGCAACCAGATTGTTGGGACACCTAGTAGAAGTACAGTGTTCAGTTAATGATATGCTCTTCAACTTTGGAGTTTTGGGTTAATTTCAGATTTTTTTTTCTTGTTTCTGAGGGTTGCTTTATTAGACAAAATTTTTGCATAGCTCTCAGAAAATGTGCATTTCTCCTATTGGTACTGAAGTTGAATATATATACACACATATATGTATATATATACATATACATTGAATATATGTGTATATATATGTGTATCCATATGTACATATGTATATATACGTATACATGCATATGATGGTTAGCTCTCATATTTCCTTTGTGACTTACTTGCTCATTTCTCTTTTTTATTGTGGCATTTGTTTTTTCTTAGGATTTATATATTGATGAATTAATTCATTGTCTATTGCACATGTTACGAATATATGTATATACATTTTAGTACATATCTCTTTTCTTATGACAATTATTTAAAATTTTGACATAATTTCAGACTTGCAGAAAAGTTGCAAGGTTAATGCAAAGAATTCTCTAGGACCTTCACCCAGAGTCCTCAGATGTTAACATTTTAGTACTTTCATCTTACCCTTTTTCCTCTCAGTTTTCTCTATCTATATAATTTTTATTTGAACCAATAAACATGAAGCTATAGCCATAAGTATGTTTAAAATAGACTTTATGGTACTTAGAATTAAAGAACCAATGTTGATAGGTTATCAGCTAAAGTGAATCATTTATTCAGATTTTCTTAGTTTTTACCTAATGTGCTTTTTCTGTTCCAGGAGTCCACCTAGGACACTATGTGGCCTTATGTCTTCATGTCCCCCTAGGTTCCTCTGTACTGTGACAGTTTTTAAGATTTTTCTTGTTTTTGATGATCTTTGAGTTTTGAGGAGGACTGGTCAGGATTTTGTCTAATCTCCCTCTAAAAGTGTTTTTCTCGTGATGTTACTGGTTTGGGGGAGGAAGACCATGGAGAGAAAGTGATATCTTCATCACTTCCTATTAAGCCTGAATTTATGTCAAAAGGCTATTAACTTCGTTCGTCACTGTTGATGCTGACTTTGATCTCAGGAATCCAGAGCCTTTTAATGTCTATATATAAACATCCTCGGTTATGAGCTTATTTACAAAACAGAAAGAGATTCACAGACATAAAAAGCAAACGTATGGTTACCAAAGGGGAAAGGTTGGGAGGAGGGATAAATTGGGAGTTTGGGATTAACATATACACACTACTGTATATAAAAGTGATGAACAATGAGGATCTACTATGTATCACAAGGAACTCTGCTCAATCTGTAATAACCCAAATGAGAAAAGAATTTGAAAATGAATAGATATACGTATATGTATGACCGGTTCATTTTGTGTATGCCTGAAACTAACACAACATTGTGAGTCAACTATAGTCCAATATAAAATAAAATAAACATCATCAGTGGTGTTTAGGTCAGGTCAACTAGTCTGAGCAAAATTTGGAGGTTCAAGTTGTCTTTTATTTTTATTTTTTTTAAAAGTATTTTTCTTTCTTTGTCTGCTTTGGGTCTCAGTTTTGGCATGCAGGATTTTGGTTGCATCATGTGTGATCTTTATTGCAGCTTGATAACTCAGTAGTTGTGGAACTTGGGCTTAGTTGCTCTGCAACGTGTGGGATCTTAGATCTTTAATCAGGGATCAAACCCAAGTCCCCTGTATTGCAAAGCAGAGTCTTAACCACTGGACCACCAGGGAAGGTGCCTCAAGTTATCCTTTAATCATCATGAAAGCTGTACAATAGCTAGAGAGCTGTAATATTCATTGCAATTCATGAACCTGAATGATACATTGATGATAAGTCCTTGACTGTAAGGTTATTGTTATACAGTGTGTTTTTGGTAACACTACAAATTAGGAATTAATTTTAGAACAGGAAGTCTTAAAATTGGTTCTTCAAAACATTTAGCAAATTATTTGAAGGGCAAAAATACTTGTGCGCATCCCCTGTTATGTGATCTGTACACCTCTGTGTCCCAGATGTAGCCTTTGACTTTCTAGTATTGTTTTACAGAAGACCACATCTTATCTATTATAAATGATTTAGCTGTCTCCTTTCAACTACTCTTGTTTTCCCTTTCACTGACTAAACCTTTTGAAAGTTTGAGCAGTTAGATTCCCACACCCTATGTTTGATCATTTCCAGGAACCAATAAGAAAGTTTAGCAAAGTGAATCTGAATGATTTATTTGTGCAGAAAGAATGAATTTCCTCTTAGTTGTACATCCGACACCCACACGATACCTCATCTGTGATGCTGGGAAGGAACATTTTCAGGAGAAATTTGATGCCCAATTAGTGTGTTTTAATTTAGTCAGTGGAATTTCCATCTGGCTGCAGCACATATCCTGGAGGGTAGACAAACGCTGAGTGTAACACTTGATGAGTTTGTGAGATGGGTCTGCAGATACAAAAGACACTTCACTCAAGCAGGATTTTAGAGAGTCTGAGTTCCCCCACCCCCACCTCTATTTGTTAGTTACAGGATGAATGGGGACAGAGAGAGTGCATGCTACTTATTTTGCAAATAAACAACTTAATATATAACTCAGTTTATATATAAATTAAATTAACTGCCACAGGAAAGTCTGAGATTAAATAAACCTATTATAAAAAGTCAAGTTTTCATGGAAGGTTTTGGTTCTTATTATGTCTAAAAATAGAGGGGATTCCAGAAGTCTATAATCCTTATCCAAAAATTTTGTTTTCCATTTTGTGGAAGGTACCTTTTCAGTCCATTTCAAACAGTAATATGTTGTGTCTTCTGGCCTTTGGTTGTTCTGTTTGCATACACTTAGGAATGAGCTTAGACAGCTGACATTGATCTTTTCTACTCCTAAGAATCATACTTGCTTCCTGGACACCGTTATCTCTGAAAGTCCTGTAACACTACTAAGTGATGTCCAGATTTGGCTAGCACCTAACACTAGGAATTCATTATTTTTAGGAGGGAAAGGTGATCATGTATCTATAAGACTTAAACATTGACCTTTGCTAACACAGTTCAGATTGTGTTTAATCATGACTATTGGGACATCATCGAACAAGCCCCAGGCAGAGACGTTTATGACAGAAACACCCTGTCCTTCCAGGACAGAACCAGAAATGTCTGCAATGTCTGTAGACTCTGGACCTCAGACTGTGTGAACACTTTCCTGGGTTCCACTGTACCCTTAAGTTTGTTTCCCAGCCATGGAAAATGGCTGTGAGAAATGATTGTGCAACTGCAAACTGTTAGTCACTTTAGATTTCCTGAATATTCCCTGTTTAATTTCTCTGGTAGCTGGCAATCGCATCGAGGATTTAAGCTGCTGAAGGGAATTCGGGAAAACCCACATAAATGTCCTGGATGAGGTTTGGCAGGCTATGTGTCTTGGTGACATAACAATGTCATAACTAGAGATTTCATCAAACACAGCAGGCAGGAAATCCCTCTTGCTGCCAGACACCCACTTACAGTCACTGGAGTCTGAGAATCATTGTTGGTTAGAACGGATTCTACAGTTTTTAATTTGATTATCAGGCTGCTGGAATACAAATTTGGACCCGGAGTTTAGATGTAATGAGATTTCGTTTAAAATGGGCATCTTCAGAGACTTTTTAGAAAAGGAAAAGAAAAAATAAACTGTAGGAAAGTTTCTGTAAAGGGAGCAACAGCTTCTCCAGGAAAAACCCAGCCTACTCCCTCAAGATGAGGCCTGAGATGTGGGGCCGGAGCTCTGCACCCGGCCTGAACAGTCAGCCAGGCCAACCACTGTAGACCGTCTTCCCAGGTAACCTTTCGTCACCCCCAAGAGCCTAATGAACAGGACCTTTCATTTAAGACCCTGTGGACTGCAGCCTGCCAGGCTCCTCTGTCCTTGGAATTTTTCAGACAAGAATACTGGAGTAGGTTGCATTTCCTACTCCAGGGGATCTTCCTGACCCAGGGATCAAACCTCCATCTCTTGCATCTCCTTCATTGGCAGGAGGATTTTTGTTTACCACTCTGCCACCTGGGAAGCCCTAATTTAAGATAGCATTTTGTAAATTGATGTGTTATCTTAGTCACTATGTTATCTTAGTCACTATGAAAAATAGTCTGATGTTATGAATTTTATCACCTTCTAGAATGTTGTTTCCTAGTGTGTGGGTTTAGATTACTTCAAGATACCTTTTCTTTTCAATCATTTTTGGGGTTTTATTTAGATCTAAGACTATCACCAAATTCTGTTCTAGAATTCGGAAGCTTTTAGAAGAGAGACTGTATACTGTTAAAGGAAGTTGACTTTGACCTTCCAGTTTTCTCCATTTATACCTGCTCACTGTCACATTTTTGTATCACCCTGGGTTACTTTCTCTGTCTAATTCTTTGATATTTAATTCTGTCACTTGAGTAAGTATTGAGATTCCAAGTACAACTACATATGTTTATTGGTCCCATTTTCACCACTGAAGACATTTTTATTATATCCATTGGAACATGAATTTAGTGTTATGGGTTTTTTTGCTTTTAAAATATTTGTTTATTTTGGCTGCCCCAGGTCTTTCTTGTGGCATGTGGGATCTAATTCCCTGACCAAGGATTGAACCTGGGTCCCCTTCATTAGGAGCCTGAGGTCTTAGCCACGGGACCACCAGGGAAGTCCCCATAGTGTTGTTTTTATTGTGTAATGGTTTACCATTATATGGTGATTTTTTCTGCTTTGCTCTTGCTGTGGCATTGACTTAATCTGATACTATGGTAATCACTCTGCTCTTAAATTTGTGTAGGTGTCTTAGAGTATAGACCATCTTGCTAATTCAAAAGTTGGCCTCTGTTCACGTATGTATAACTCCAGTCATCTGTTTGTAGCAAACTGGTGGATTTTTCTCTATAGTGAAGTCCAGTCTATTTGCTAATGGTGTTCTAGTTGTATCTTCAAACTGACCTCTAAGCCACAGACTCTCCCCTCAACTCCAGACACTGAATTTCTAATAGGCATTGTATTTGTTTCCTGGGGTTGCTGTAACAAAAGCACCACAAACTGGGTGGCTTAGAATAACAGAAACGTCTTGGTGCACAGCTCCAAAGTCAAGGTGTAGGCAGGGCCATCCTCCTTGGATCTCTAGGAAGGATTCTTTCTTGCCTCTTCCAGCTTCTGGTGATGGCCAACAGTCCTTGGAGTTTCTTGACTTGACTCCCTCCCATCTCTGCCCCCATCATCACATGATCTTCTCTTAAGGACACTAATCATATTGGATGAAGGGCCCACCTAGCTCCACTATGATCTCATCTTAACTAATTATTTCTGTAAAACCCCTTTTCCAAATAAGATCACGTTGTAATATTCTGGGGGTTGAGATTTCAACATATTCTTTTGGAGGGACACAACATTAAAAAAAAAGAAAAAAATGTTAATTTTGTATTGGGTATTGGGAATAGCCAAGTAACAGATGGGCTTCTCTGGTAGCTCAGCTGATTAAGAAACCTCCTGCAATGCAGGAGACTCCACTTTGATTCTGGGCTTGGGAAGATACCCTGGAGGAGGGCATGGCAACCCCCTCCAATATTCTTGCCTGGAGAATCCCCATGGACAGAGAAGCCTGGAGGGCTAAAGTCTGTGGGGTTGCGGCAAGGAGTCGGACGTGACTGAGCAACTAAGCGCAGTACAAGAAGCAAACAATGTTGTGATGGTTTCAGGTGAACAGCCAAGGGATGGAGCCATACATACACATGTACCCATTCTCCCCCAAACTCCCCTCCCATCCAGGCTGCCGCATAACACCAAGCAGAGTTCCCTGTGCTATGCAGTAGGTTCTCGGTTATCCATTTTAAATATAGCTGTGTGGGACACAACATTTTTAATGGAATTTTACATGACAGCTTTGTTGAGATAGCGTCCTGTGTTGTTGTTGATGTTTTTCATTTGGCTGCACTGGATCTTAGCTGCAGGATGCAGGATCTTTAGCTGCAGCATGGGAACCCTGAGTTGCAGCATGTGGGATCTAGTTCTCTGACTCCGGATAGTACCCAGGACCCCTGCATTGAAAGAGCGGTGGCATCTTAGACACTGGGCTGCCAGGTAAGTCCTTGCTTCCTGTGGTCTTCGGAAAGATACTTTCTGTCTTAGGACTTTGAATTTGCTGTGTTTCTGCCTCCACTTTCCCCCACCCACTCCCCAGTCTTTTTTTTTTTTTTCCCAGTCTTCTCATGGCTTGCTTAGATCATGCAGCTCCCTGCTCAAACCTTATTTCTTCAAGGAAGCCTCTTCTGACCACTCTACCTAATAGAAACTCTCATCCTTTTACATGTACCACTATCTGACATGTTATGTGTTTTTTTTTGTTTTCTGTCCCCAAGTAGATTGTAGGATCTGTGAGAGCAGGAAATTAATCTTGCATCTGATCAATCTACCCCCAGGGCTTGAAGCAGTGCCTGGCACACAATAGATGCTCCATCAATATGTGTTGAATTAACACAGGAAGGGCTATCATGGTAGTATCATTACCTTATCGAGCGTAGATCTGAGTCAAGTGAACAAGTAGAGTGCTGGAAGACACCACGGGCAAAGAGCCTGAGGCAAGAGCCTGCTTGGCGTGTTCAAGGACCAGTGAGTCAAGGCGAGTGGTGAGAGATGCCATCAGAGGAATGGACTGTGTCAAGCTCTTGCCTTGGTCATGATGTTCTGGCCACCTGTGCTCTTTCCCTGGCTGTTCTGATGGTTGCCTTCTCATTCTTGGTGGTTTCAATGTAACCTCCCTCTCATTACTCTACGTCACACCACCTCATAGCATTTATCACCAGCAGTAAATCTATTTACTGCTTTATTATCTTGTCCTACTACCCCACTGGGCACAGAAGTTCCACGTGGGTCAAAACCAAGTTTGTTTAATGACTCTTGTGCTCCTGGAAGCTAAAACAGTGTATGTTCCCACAAGTGTTGGTTAAGTGAGTGAACAAAGATAACCTTATACTGGTAAATGAATTCCCCAGAGTAGTTTAATTCAGCTTAGGAAAACATGCCTGGCTTTTACTGGGAGGAGAGAAGGAGAAGAGAAAAAGGCAGCCATATCTAAATATGTTTCTACCTCCCATAATGATTACCAAATAATATAAAGATATTTCAGGCATCTTCCTATGTGACAATTCTCTATTCCCATGACCTTAAAGCATATCCCCTATGAATACTAAGGCTCTGTTTTTACTCTTACCACATGGATCAAGTTTTTACCCCACATATTTTCCCAGTGTTTCTTAATTTTCTTTTCACATATTCTTCATAACATTAACCATATAAAGCATATAAATA